GGTCTCCCTGCCTTTGGCGTTCCGCCCTCTACAGCACGAGTATTGTTCAGTTGGCTTGGCCATTCCTCACTACTCCCTCCGAATGTCCTCATCTTGTCAATAATACAAATGGACAATAGCGGTTGTTTCTATTGTGTTGCTCTCTCTTGAGTCCCCACTCGCAATCGTCCAACTCGACCCAACCTCTATCCGCTTTGGGGTATGTATCGCTTCAACACTCCACATCTATTCGGCGCATTGTCTATTCGATCGCATTGATGGCTCAGAGATTACATTAGGCGGTACATGGAATTGCTTTCTATTCAGAGGAATTCTTCCATCAACGTGTGGGTCGGTCACAACACATTGCTGGGAAGAGGTGCCGTAACAATACGCTATTGAGGTTAGTTGTGTTCGAACCTCTGCGTGCTTCTGGTCTTTCTATATATTGGACCAGCTTTACTTTCAAGTTTTCAACCTCTCCCGCTTCATTGCGTTCTTGCGTTTCCGTTCTCGCGTTTCCGTTCTCCGTCGTCGCTGTGATCCTACTTTTATACCATCTCTTGATCTCTACGCAAACATGGCTGCAGAACTTATCCCAGATTTCGTCCTTGCATCTAACCACTCTGAAACAGAAGATCACTTGGCCAAAATGGGTGATTCGAAGGGAACAGAAGCTCAGGGGAGTTCCCCGCCTTCAGGAACCATCGCGAAGTTGGTAAGCTGGCTCCTCTTTTCTCCACTTGCTGCCTCCCGAGCATGGTGCCTAGGAGCGTATTAGCTGACCAGCTCAGACCTGCGACATCCTCAATGAGACGTTCTACAACATCATCCATGACATCGTTGCTCAAGTTCATCGCGATGAAAAGGTCACTCGCATGCGCTCCGCAGTAGTTGTTGCCAGGCAGAAAGCCGAAGAAGAAGTAGCCAGGCGTCGTGAAGATGCAGGGGCCAAAGCAACGGGATCCGTGGATTCAGAAGACCTCAAGGACATCCGGGTGGAAACGGACGGTGCGGTGTTCGAAGATGGCAAGGTCTTTCTCAAAGGCAATCCTCTTCAGACAACAAAGGAAATTATCTGTCCTGATTGTCGCTTGCCACGTCTGCTCTATCCAGTAACCGGAGTCGGCGCTCGTCCACCTCCAGATCCGTATCGCGAATACTGCCAGAATCAGCCACTGATCACGAAACCGGGGCACGACGTGCACGGGAATCCCTTCGCTACGGACAAATTGAACCCAAAGAAGAAAAAGCAGACTAACGCTTCCAACACTCCCGCTTCTAGTCCTCCGACCACTCCTGATAGCTCTTTCAAGCAGGCCACCCAGGAGAAGGTGTCATATCCCACCGTGAAATGTCCCAACTGTCCGAGATACTTTGTGGTGACGCGAGTTGCTCAGCATCTGGACCGTTGCATGGGTCTATCAGGTCGACAGACCAATCGTAACAGAACGCCCATGGAGAATGGCAACAGCTCTCCAATCACGGGACCTCCAAAGCGTCCACTGGCGGACGATGACGCACCACCAACTCTGACGAAGAAGAAGAAGCTCAACACCCACAAAAAGCTATCTGGAAAGAAACCACCCCTGCCTCCAAGCAGCAAACTGAGAAACGGTCTGACCCCTGATATGGCTGCAGCCGCGGATGCGGCGGCGTCTGGAGACGTTGACATCAAACGTGAAGCCAAAGACAACGCATGAGCTTATCATCCTTCCCCTGGCCACCTTGACCTTGCTTTTTTCTGGTTTCTGCAAGGTCACTTACTTTGAGGATGAACCCTCTGAACATAATTTCCATCCAAAGTTTTATTTCCCTTTGTCCTTAACGATATTGACGTAAATATTGGGCATCACAAGGCGTCAACAGGAACCTGCTCGGATACTTTAAACATGCCTGGCTGAACGATTTGGGACATATTTGGCGACCTTTTTTTTTCTTTTCTCCGTTGCTTTCTTCTGTCTCATTTGTGGCTTCTTACTCTGGGATATTTGTTTTTCTCTGCTTGTCCGACCAGTTAGTCGTCGGCATAGACGATGGAGCACTGATATGTACAATAGCCTGGCAACACCAGCCAGCTCCTCGATAGCGCCCCGCATGGAACATTGCTTGTGATTTTATCAAGTGCCCTCTTCAAGTAGTTGACTGGTCCAAGTCATGAATAGAGACGCCAGCCTTTTACCTCTTAATCATAACATTTGTGCAACCATCAACTGTGGAGTCTAGAATCAGCTCCAAGCTGAAGCGGATATTGCCGCAAGACGTGCGGACCCGCAGAAACCCACCGACGATGCGCTTATCGAGTCTCGTCATACCTCGCCTCATTTTTGAACCTTTCAGTCTTATTGTCATGAAGGTAGACGAGTCACTCACTTTCTTTCAATAAACTTTTTCTGAGCTTATCCACTGAGTCCGCGCGCAGAACATGAGTAACTCAAGCCTCGTCGCGTGGGCAGTTCCTCGCCTGGCCCAGCTTTTACCGCTGGATGAGGAGTCCTTGACACAGATTATCACTTACTCTGCCAGTCTTCCAAAGGAAGAAGGTGCCGAGCATCTCAAAAACCTCCTCGGGGACTCCCCCGCAGCCTTCGAATTCATCGCCTCCTTCAGCGCCCGACGAGACCAAAACCAAACCCGATCCACCGTACCATCGCCAGCTCGAGGCGGGGAAGAGCAATCCGCAGCGGCCGACGCATACACCACTGAAAATGTGAATTCTGGGACAAGAGCCGGAGCCAAGAGGGGCAAAAAGCCCAAAGCGCCTCTTCACAGCGCGGGGCCCGTTCGCAGGCCTGAGAATTTCGGGAATGTGGCTGGAGGTTATAGGAAGGAGGATCAGGACGAGGATTATATGTCAGCTGCGTCGGCTCGGCAGGCGAGACAGGATACAGCTGTTTTACGGCCAAAGGGTTCAGCTTCTTCGCTACAGGTTCCGCAGCAGCAGAACGCGTTGTCGTCGCTTGACTCGTCCGCTGCATCGTCACGTACCCAATCTCCCGCACCGCGGTCGTCTGGTACTCCTAAGAACCCACCGTCCGCGTCGGGACCGGTGCTATCAGATCTCCTGCCCAATGTCAAGTCGAAAGCTGCCAAGCCATCTTCCCGACAGCACGGAAGCGGAAGCTCAGCCACCGGAGGCTCATCTAAAGCATCGCTTACAACAAACAACATCTCCGACCTGACGGCCGCGATTGCTGCTCTCGAAGTCTCTACGAATCCGACCTTAGGCGGTGGCAGGCAAAAATGCAGTTGCTACGCTACAATCCACCCGCTCTTTGAACCGGCGCCGAACTGCCTGAACTGCGGCAAGATCATCTGCTCCCTCGAAGGTCTCCAGCCATGCTCATTCTGCGGGACGCCACTCCTATCAAACGAAGAAGTGCAGAGTATGATCCGGGAGCTGCGCGCGGAGCGCGGACAGGAGAAGATGCGGGCTCACAATGAAAGTGTCCACCGGGAGGGTGGGCCAGGCCCAACTCCGGTGGGAAACAGCAAGCTTGACGCCGCCAAGGCGCACCGTGATAAGTTACTTCAGTTCCAGGCGCAGAACGCCAAACGCACGCGGGTCGTGGATGAGGCTGCGGATTTCGAAACGCCGAATGTTGCGTCTACGCTCTGGATGAGCCCCGCTCAGCGGGCGCTGGCGCTGAAGAAACAGCAGCGGATACTCCGGGAGATGGAGGAACAGGCGCGGCCGGAGTGGGAGAAGAAGAAGACCGTCATGAGTTTGGATATCAAGGGCGGTCGGGTGACTCGAGTGTATCAATCTGCCGCGCCTGCAGAGTCGAGCTCGGCCGCAGAGGAGAAAGATGAGGACGTCGAGGATGTTTCGCACGAAGAGTCGAAACCAAGTGGCGGTGAAGCTTTCAGTCGGAACCCACTACTTGCAGCTGGCGGGCTGCTACGACCCGTTTGGAAGGCTGCGGGAGACAAGCAGGCAGAAGGGGGGAGCACAAAAGAACGCAAGCAGGCATGGCGGCGCGTCCAGGACGACAATGATGACAATGAACAATGGATTCTCGATGGTGGCTTGCACGGCTATACCACTTAGCTTCTGAATATCACCCTATGAACCCATATGGAACCAAATCCTCGTCTGCACGGCAGAAAATGGGCACGCCTCGAACTGCTGCACATTGGCAGATACTGCGCACACATCCTCCATTAAGTACATCGCCAATCCTTAGCCGATAGCGGCGATCTGGCGTCTCCCAGTATAAAGTGCGACATCGCCGCGCGACGTCTATGTAGCGGTATACTGATGGAGTAGTGTTGCGCGAATTCCCCGCGCCTATTATTGCCAAATACCCGCATTTGCTCCGCGATCCACTTCAGTGGGTGCTGAAGGTCTTCTATAACCCAACTGAGGTCGGATATCAACGGTTGTCTTCAGAATGAATAGTGGATACAGTCTCCTCAAGCCGAGTTACTTCGGGCAGGAGATATAGTGCACTATCAATGGTGACTGAGATTATTGTCGGCATCAGGTTGACAAGATGAATAGAAGCATATTCTCAATACGAATGCACCCATATCCCTGAATTTCCGTAAACCAGAGTATCTACGTTGTATACTTAAGCTTAAATCAGCAGGTGTCGCTGTCTCTATGATGTACTGTACAAACAGCCCTCAAGAAGAACACGTAATATTTGCACATCCTGACGCTATAAACATCTTAGTCGTCGGTAATAATTTGATGCTACTTACTCGTTCTTATCATTGTCAGCAGTCCGCAAACGATGACCGCATGGACAGCGGAAGTACGCCCGCATCTAACCGAGCCAGCATAAGATATAAAGAACCCTTTGGCTGGACATTTGAGGGCCCTTGCGCACTCAGTGGAATACTACCTCTACCTTGGTCGATTCCCCATTTCATCATTGCTTCTAGCTCCTTCGTCTTTGCGGGGAAAGTGGGAAGACCATTGGAGTGAGACCTGCCTCGGTTGAGCTCGGCTAGCATCGGTGGTTGCAGTCGTCGGCATCATCATTCATCATTGTTTCATCTGCTGCTTGGAAATCATGCTAGTTCAACCATTATTGGAGAATTTGTCAGTCTGGGGGACGGTGCAAGGGCTTTTGTTTCTCCTAGGGGGTTTGGTAAGTCATTTACCCTGAAGTCGCCGGATTTATATTCACGCTATGCTATGATCATGGGTACCAAGTGCTGATATTCGGGGGCGTAGACAGTAGCATATATCACGTACAATCGATTTTTCCACCCTCTACGCTCTATTCCCGGACCTTTCCTCGCTTCCATAACCCCCTGGGTACAACTATACCACGGCCTGAAAGGCGACCGACACCTATGGCTTCACCATCTACATGAGAAATACGGATCCCATGTCCGGGCGGCGCCCAACTTCGTCTCGATCAACACGGACCGCGGCCTGCACGACATTTACGGCCATGGCAAGCGGCTCCGCAAGGCCAATTTCTACAATGCCTTCCCCGCCATCAAGGGCGTGTACAACACGCACAACGCAATCGACAAGGCGATGCACGGGCGCAAGAGGCGCGTGCTCAGCCAGGCTTTCTCGGACCAGGCGCTGAAGAGCATGGAGGATGTGATGCTGCTGCATGTGCGGCAGCTTTGTGAAATTCTGGGTGGTGGGCTCGAAGGAAAGAGTGAGAAGAGCGCGACGGCCGTTTTCAATATCGGAGATTGGTTTAGCTATCTGACGTACGATGTGATGGGGGAGCTGTGCTTTGGAAAGAGCTTTGACATGCTGGTTTCGAGCGGACGGCGGAAAATGATCGACCTTGTGGATCGCGCTGCCAATCGGCACTATGTGGTATGGCCCTTGTTTTCTCTCCTAGTATTGACAGACACTGACGAAGTCAAGTGCGGATTGTGGATGCCCCTCGACACCTGGCACCTAGACCAGATTCTCATCCACAAGTTGACCAACGACCGATGGAACTTCATCATGAAATCCCGACTCGAAGCCAACGAGCGGGCCAAGGAACGGACGCAGGCCGGCCACGAAGCCAAAAAGGACTTCTTCTACTACCTGCTCAACGCCAAGGATCCCGAAACCGGCAAGGGACTGACGACGCCCGAGCTCTGGGGCGAGGCGAACGTCCTGATGATCGCCGGCAGCGACACGACATCCACCACCATGTCCGCGACGATCTTCTACCTGGTCCGCACCCCGCGCGCCATGGAGCGGCTCCGCAAGGAGATCCGCGAGAACTTCTCCTCCGTTGAGGAGATCGTCACTGGGCCCAAGCTCAACGAGCTTGTCTACCTGAAGGCATGCCTCGACGAGGCGATGCGTCTGGCGCCAGCTGTTCCTGGCGCGCCCCCGCGCGAAGTCATGGAGGGCGGCGCCATGGTCGATGGAGTCTTTCTTCCTGAGGGTACGGACTGCGGGACCCCGACGTACTCGATCCACCGGCAACCGGAGTACTACCGCGAGCCCGAGACCTATGTCCCCGAGAGATGGATCGAGGGCGCGACATGCCAGGCTGGTAACGAGTCATGGACGACCAGCAAGGAGGCCGTTGAGCTGGCGCGCAGGGCCTTCTGCCCCTTTAGCATTGGGCCGCGTGGGTGTATCGGGAAGAGCATGGCGTTCATGGAGATGCGGATGACCATTGCGCGGTTGATGTTCCTGTTTGATTTTGAACTGGCCGATCACAAAGGTGAGGACGAGAAGGGGCAGCTCGCGCTGGTGGATCACTTCACTAGCGCCAAGTACGGGCCGAATGTCATTGTCCGGAAAAGGGTCTGACTCTGAACTGTGAACGTGATACGCGGATGGTTATTGTAAAATTGCATGAGCTATGACAATCAAGCATTTGATCATTATAATATTATTGGCTTGACGATCACAACTAGAGGTAGTCCACACATTGTAGTCCGTACTCCGTACAAACAAAAGACACGGTTGCCGCACGTGGCTTGGCCGGCGCTGGCGCTACGCTTGTGTTTATGCAATGTAACTCTAGCATATGCTAAACCGCATGCAAGTTACAACGTCTATCTACATACTCAATCCTAACCAACCTCCAAACTTTATGTCTTAAACAGGGATCACAGCAATGCTCATATGAGCTCATGCGTATACCCAACACAGAATGCCCTCCCCCCTAACAACGACCCTAATCCAATCCACTCTCCTGAACGCCCTCTCCAACATCCTCGCCCAAATAATCGCCCAGCACAAAAAAGACGTAAGCCTTCCTCATGCTTTCTTAGTGTCAATGACAATTCTGAATAAAGATGCAGGGCCCATTCACCCTCAACACCCTTGCCCTCCTCCAATTCCTCACCTACGCCATCATCATCGTCCCCATCAACTTCTCCTGGCAGAAGTACCTGGAGGCGAGATGGCCGGGGTTCCCGGGGAGGAGTAGGCCCGTTGCTGCCACTGGTGCCGAGACCAAGGGCGGCGCTGGCGCCGTCGTTGTAACGGTTGATCCGGGGGATCTGCTGCCGGTCAAGGAGAAGGAGAAGCACGACCCGCACCTGGTATCAGAAGCACGATGGCGCTGGCGCTGGCGCTCGCGCTCGCGCTCCGGGCTGGGTAATTTCCTCATGAAATTCTTCCTCGATCAGACTGTTGGGTCGGTGATGAATATTCTCATGTTTATTGTTTTGATTAATGTGCTCAAGGGAGTGGGGTGGAGGAGGATTCGGGAGTTGATTTTTGAGGTACGTCTGTTCCTGCCTTTTATGTGAGGGGGGGTTATTGACGAGGGTAGGACTTTGGGCCGATAATGATTGCCCGGCTTAAGTATCGGCCTGTTGTGTCGGCGCTGTTGTATACGGTTGTTCCTGTGGAGAGGCGCGTGGTGTTTGGGAGTGCCTGTGGGGTGGTCTGGGGGATCTATTTAAGCCTGTATGCTGCTGTGTAGGCTTGATGATACAAAACATAATAATAAAGGAAGGATGTTTTAATTCGTCTCTAGCTAGGTCATATTCACTCATTAGATGTTTGTCATCCTGCGCCATGGCGATAAACTAAGCGTCAGGTCATCTAAAGACGGCAATGACAGTCCGCCCTGTAAGCAAGTCCCCGCCTCCAACGCCTGGTCCATTTCAGCATAAGTCATATGCAATAGCAATCTATATTTGCACGGCAATCCCAAGTCTAAGCCGGGAGTGTCTCGATCTTCTTCCCCTTCACGGAGAGCCACTGCACTGGAATCGCTCCGAGTATCGAAACCGCCGACATGGCAACAGCAACATAGAACGACTCGGTGATGGCGTTACTGTAGGCAACGAGGACTGCTGGTAAAATGTCCTCGGAAACAACGTGCCGCAGCATGGTTGCACCAGTACCCGCGACTTGTGCAGCATTGACACTAGGCACCTGGACGGCCAGATTCTTGTACAGTTGGTTCTGGAATACGTTCTGCCCAACCGAAACGAACAGTGCGCCTCCGAGAGTTTGCATGAACATCACGATGGACGTCGCACTGGGGACATCCGTGTCTTGAACTGCAGTCTGCACCACAATCATTGGTTGCTGGAGTCCGAGGCCAATCCCAAGCCCAGCAAGGGCCTGGTACCCTATCCAAGCAGCATGGCCGGAGTCGACCTTCAATGTCGATAGCAGACCGGCCCCAACCGTGATCATCACAGGGGAGGCCAGCATGAAGGGCGCGTAGTAGCCAATTGCAGAAACCATGGCCCCAGAGAGGAGTGACATCAGAACTGATCCTAGCAGCATGGGTAGATTCATGATACCAGATTTGGTCGCCGAGACGTTTTTGATGGCTTGGAACCAAATCGGAAGCTGTACAACCAAAAGTCAGTCAACCCAGATCCTCGAGCACAGAGTGTCCAGTATGCACGTACGTAGTAAACAAACAGCATGAATGCAGCCGATACACTGAAGCTGTAAAATGCAGCACCCCAGACGTTACGGTTCTTCAATATTCGAGGAGGCACCGTAGCGTTCTCCTGCGCCCATTGCTGCCGAGCCATGAAGATCACGATTAAAACTCCAAACACGATGAACAGAGCGATGATGCGGGCATTGCCCCAATTGTACTTGGTGCCCCCCCATTGCAGAGCCAGTAGCATGGAGATGATGGCGGGGAAGAAGATGAAAAGACCAGGCAGATCAAGCCGCGACAGCTGATCCTTGAGACTCGACTTATCCTTGTATGATTTTGGCGCCTTGAAAAACAAAAGGATGAAGAGCCAAGTCAAACCCCCGATAGGCAAATTGATATAGAAACACCATCTCCAGGTGACATGGTCGGTAAAGACACCACCAATCAGAGGCCCAGCCACACTGGAAATGCCAAACATACCACCCAACACACCAGTGTAGATTGGTCGTTTCTGCAGAGGCACGGACTGGGAGATAATCAGGATTGACCCAGTAAATAATCCAGCAGCACCCAAACCGGCTACCGCACGACCAATGATCAGCGCGACAGAATTAGGAGCGACGCCGCATATCAAAGATCCAATCTCGAAGATGGCTATCGCACTGAGATAGACCCATTTGGTAGAGTAGAACGTGTAGAACTTGCCGTATGGAAGTACCAGGCAGCAAGTGGTCAGCATGTAGGAACTTGCATACCAACCGACATCTTCCAAAGAGTTGAACTGATCTGTAATCTTGGGAATCGCCGTCGCCAGAATAGTATTGTCCTAGTGAACCCGATTCAAGTCTGTTAGCTTCTTACTCTTGTCCCTTTGGAAAGTAAGATGGCTCTAGAGTACGTACCAAAGACATGCAGAAAATCACAAGGCTGATACTGGTCATGACCAAGGCCAGCTTCCATGATTTCAGATATTCTGGCTCTTGTTTTTCATCCCCATGGCCCTCGCTGTATTCCATATCCATTGCTTGGCCGTCGCTGCGCCTCTCAGGAACAGGCGACTCGGGATATTCAAGCCCTAGGGAGGACTCCACTAGCGTACTCTCCTTGTCAGATGACTGTCGTCTTCCTGGTGCATTTGGCTCGGAAGTGAGCTTTGTCTGTGAGCTATTTGGGCCATGATCATGCTGCGAGTGGCTGTTCGCTGTGTTCTCCATGACGAGAGGGTGGGTATCAGAGTCCTTCGATATCAATGCCGACAGCAACGCGGAACGACTGGAACTGAGTTGAACTTGAAGAACAGTAACTTCACAGAGTCTAGATCAAAGCATCAAGCCAAGTGAAGGAGGCAAGATTCGTTCCAAGCAAGGTTCGAATCCACGTTGACCAGCTTCAGACAAGGGAGCAGGTGGTGGCGTTTTGACTGCTTGGAGAAGTAATGGACAGATATCTGACTGTGTGAGCCAAAAAATGAGACCAAGTCGTTCTCAGCCCATTGCAGGATAACGGCAATGGCAAAAAGCAGGAGAGGGAGCAATGACTAAACGGGGATTGTTTGTGCAACCCGCCATTCACTGGCGGGCCAGTCTTTAGAGTACATCCAGGTACCTACCTTAATGTAGTGGCCATAGCCTAACATACATACCGGAGTTATGTTCTTTGTCCATCCGGTATGGTACGTAAGCAAGTAAACAAAGAAGGTTTTGCAATCAAGGAGAGATGTGCTGACGGGCTGTCAAGTATCCGACCAGAGGATGTATCCATCAAACAAAGGTATGCATTTTCCCAAAAGGGCGAAGAATATCATCTTATGCATTGAACCCATGTCTTAAGACTGGCGAAAAGCCCGGATGACCAGTCTTCCTTTCTCAGGAATTGTACGAATGTCAATCCTGGATCTACCCGGTGATCCTTGCGCACATCTAAACAATGAAGCATTCCGAATGTGGCTCCGCGTCTCAACGATGGTTGCCATGGACCTCGCATCGACGTGTAATCTCTCCCTACCTTACTTTCATTGCTGCCTCTCTATTCCAGAGTGTGAACTGGCTCTTCGGAGTCGGAAGTCTGTTGCCGAAACAGATCATCTCAAGTAGGTACCTAGTTGTCTGCATCGGATTAGGTTCGAACAGGTTCCGTGTGCATGCAGATCAACCCTTTCCCCAATCACACACACTTTAAGTCTACCATAGAGGTAATAGTCGAAAGCACCGACTAAACTCCTAATAGGCACACATATACTCTTTGCTTTTTCCATTGCTGATCCTCCAAGGCTACTAATCCCTCTGACTCAACCTCGATGGCCCCAAGTTGCTCCTTTTGTACGCATCAGACCCCATCAGACATGATAAAGTGCACCAGCAAGAATGGAACATACCGATAATATTATCCTTCGGTCGATAATACTCTACTATTATTTCACTTCAGACATAGTAATCAAGCAGAGTGCCCTGTTCCATGATCATCCCTTATGATCGACACCACCAAGCCCTAGTTCGCCGCCCCTTGCTTGTGGCTTACAGTCACAGACATGGTCTACGTAGCCGTGTATCTATGGTTCCACGCCACCAGACAAGGAGATTAGACGAGTGTATTAGAGGCTAGACTAGATAAAGGCTCAAACTTCCGTCCACTATGCTGTGACTATTGCAGGCTGATTTTGTGCGTGCTTTGCTTTGTCTAGATCTTGGGAGGGCTTATTGTACATGGCGATAGACTTTAGGGAATATTAAGCCAAAGCTAATGTGCGACTCGACGAGAATGAAGATCTGGATGGAGCAGGTACGTACTCCATACACTGCAGTATGCATGGCAGTATGTGTGAGCAGTAAGATACATTGCAGAGGAATATGTATTTGCCATCATATGACGATAGTTGTATCCAATGCTCAGCTCCATTTTTATGCACATAGCAGTCGTGTAACAATATTCCTCTATAGCTGAAGAATTGCAGAAACAGCGAGATCTTCTGTTCCCTTCTACGGTACTCTTCCCTGATGAAGGCATTAGATGAGCAAGGCAGATGAATGATTCCTAACACTTGATATATCCCATACTATGGGTAGTACAACGCCGCTAAATGATGATATTGATACACCTCCAGTCTCCAAGCCTAGCCTCCCAACACCAGATCAATGCAAGGATGAAGAAGTCCATGCATATGAGAGCTCAACCGCTCGATTCCCCCACCGAACGCGAACTGGGGTTTGGTCTTGGAAAGCTGGGCCTCCTGTACATCCTAGACCGAGCAGGCCCAACCTGCCACGAATGATGCCGCCTAAGACTGGCAGCGTGAAGAAGTGTGCTTGACCAAGATTGCAAGCAGGTGCTTCGTTTCAGTCAAGTGCGGAAAGTTGCAAAGACCATCGGCAGAACGCAGAATAGACAATACTTCGTATCGGCATTAGAATTGTGTTCCATTTTTCCATTTTCTTTTTTTCCTTTTCTCCACACTTTTATTTCGACGCAGACCCAGATTCATGCCTGCTGGCGACAAGAGCAATCAGGGCAGCACCGACTCCACTTCCGTCTTTGGAAATGCCAATGCGCACCTTCTTCTCGCCAGCGGCACCCACTTCAGGAACCTCCCGCAGAGCGGCGCGCATGTGTTCCTCAAAGTTGGGGTAGAACTCGACCAGACTTCCATCCACACCGATGTCGACCATGTCATCCGTCTCTAGTTTACCGGTGGAGATGAGGATAGCAGCAAGTGGCACAGCACTGAGACGGGCGGCACGCTTGCCAATCGCATGCACCAGGATTTTGACGGCCTGGCAGTCGGCGTCGCTAGGGTTTTCGATCTTCAGGTGATCCTTCAGAGCTACCTTGACTTCCTCCATCCTATCGGTCTTGTCGGCTTCCACCAAGCTGAGGAAGCTGGTGTCGATGCCCCACTGCCTGTACAGGGGCGAATTTTCCGGAGTGACAACTTTTGAGGATTGATTTGGCTTGAACAGACCAAAGGCCTCATCCTTGTGCAGATCAAGAAGAGCCCGGCGCAGGATCTCACCCAGGAACATACCCGAGACACGTTTTTCAAACATCTGGATGCCCGGGTTGTTGCTGTCTTCGTCCAACTCCTTGTCCCATTTCGTGTTGGGCAAGACACTGAGGTGGTTATCAAAGCTGCCCCACTCGGCGTTGAMGATCATCGCTCCGGTTGATTTCTCGTAATCCGAATGTTCAATCGTCCCCAGCTTGGTGATCCGGTCGAGCTTCTCGACATAGGCACCATTGGTGCCAGTGCCAAAGATGGCGCCAATGAAAGTTGAAGTATCACCGGGAGAGGTGTAGGAGCGAGCCATCAGGGTTCCCACGGTATCGTTGACAAGAGCGGCCACGCGAACGGGAAGATCCAGCTCGTCAATGGCGTTTTGCAGGAGTGCGCAGACATCGTGACCAACGGCGTCGGGGATGTTGAAGCCCTTCGTCCAGCGAATGAGGGTGCCCTTGTTGATCCCCAACTGGCGCACAGGGAAACTGAAGGTGAAGCCCAGGTCGAAGAGATCCTGTTCATGATTTGGCTCACGACGACGTCTCAGATGAGTCTCAAAGTGTTCGTTATGATGGATTCGCAGAAACGACTCAATCTGGCGAGCTAGGAACAGGAAAAGATCCTTGGAAGTACCCGAAGCCATCAGTTCGCGAGGGATCATGATCTTCGACTGTGTGAGGTTGAATGTGGTATCTCCGTGAAGATCGATTGAGCACACCCGGAAGTTGGTGCCTCCAAGATCAACAGCAAGGTACAAGCCCTGCCAAACATCTTCTAGTCAGTCACCTGCCGGATTTTTCGGTGGTTTTGACGAGAGAAAAAGTACCTTCTCAGTACCGTTCGGTACAGAAGTGACATAGGTAGGAATTTGGCTGAGTGTCGTGTGCTCCTTGGTGAGCCCCTCGCGCATCTCTCTGATATACTCCTTGACACCGCTCTGGACCTGCTCGGCGGAATAGTCAAACTGGCGCGCAATGCGCGTAGCTTCGGTCACTAGAGGCGACGACATGGCGTATCAGATCGGAAAGGGCTCTACCGGGGAATCAAAATTGGGGGAGGAAAAAGAACGGGAAGAAAGTATGTGGATAGGAAGTAAGAATTGAGGATGGGTCGAGCTGATGAGAAACTATGGAGCACGGAGAGGGAGGGTAAGAGCAATAAGGTGAAGATAATAACAATATGAAATCAAGAAGACGACGAGGGTAACAGGAGGTAATAATAATAATTTTGACCAAAGGTGCCAAGGTGGAGGGGAGGAGGGGTCGATGAGGTCAGTGATCCTGGGGACCTCAGTCCCAGCAATTTCGGTCTTGTCATTGTTGGCACCGGCCGATAATCACAACGGGATTAGTACCGGGTTCTCCGGCATAAGGTGCTCAAATTACTACCTATTGTTATCCACTACTACGGAAGACGACCAACGGAAGCAGAGGGTACGCGAGTAATACTGTCTGGTAGTAGGATCGTGCTCTGTGCCTCTGTCAACGGCTTGCCGGCCACGTCGTCATCGTGTTTTGTTAGGGACCTGGTTAGACTGGTTCAATGGCGTTAAAGCTAAGGCTGACAGGAACTAAATAATCAGTGCTAACTCAGATAGGTAGACACGCATGACTGAAGGATCAGGTTGCTCATCCAATAATGATCTTTCTTTTGAGTCTCTGTTAACATTTCTAGTTCATGATGACATTCAAGCCTCAACACTTGGACAGAGTCAATCCTACCAGAACGGAAACAATATCTCCAGAATTCTTCGTAATGATCTCTGAATGTTTCAGTAGCGCGCTTCAATTTCTCTGACGCCACGAAACACTTGTGGGGGTATTGCTACTCTTACCGGTGAGAAACAATGGTTAGGACCGCAACTGGAGAACCTGGAGGAATAAACCAGAAATGCATGGTACCTGAATATGCATACAATGGGAGAATGGTTCCTGATCCTTGTTCATTCGCTGCAGTCCGTCATACTACGGAGTAGGTATCTTGCATATCGACGAATCCTTCCTGTCGAATATGGAGTGGACGCGGAGAGCTGGAGACCCCTCATTGATCTCGAGAGTGGCCAGTTGACCTCGTGCCTGCGGGGTAACATTCCATCACGAACTCTTTTATATTGACTGTAGGCTGTAGATGTACTGATGGAGAATCTCATTCCTGGTAAACTGTTTCAAGGCGTTAGGCACTCGTACAGGATCAGGTTCCTAGCCACCAGATAGGCTGGAAAAATATCATTTCCAGTCATGTCCGACCAATGTCCGAACCTTGTTTTCCCGCTTCAGTTAGTCTGCAAGCGACATTGAGTTCTATATTGTTATGACTATAGGTCATAGCACAGTTTGATATATTTGGAGAGTTGATTAGATTGTATCTGATGACTACCTATCAAGGACATGTGATCCAGATATGATGTGCAATGGCTAAAAGTCGTCGCCTGCTAAGTCGGGACAAATCGCAACACGTTCTCAGATTGCTTCAGTATACCGCGTAACATCGTTGTTGTCAACGATTGTCATTGGCGTATCCAGAAACCAAAGACATTTCGTAATTTCTCAAAAGAAGGAACATACAGCAATGATGCGTGATCTATTGCGATATGAAGCTATACCAGCGTGACTAAGGACGTCACGTGACACTGCATGCGGAAACATCAACTGCCCGAATTGAATTCAAGCCGGCGGAAGTCGGCTGTTCCAAAAGTGAGATCCAGATCAGATCTCGTTGCAATTGCCATCTACATTTCTTGCGGAGTCTACGTGGCTACCGTTCCTGATACACCATTGCCATTGCAACGAGTTGACGAAGAGAGAGCAATCACAAAATTCAGACATCATGGGCGCCGGCAGCTCTAAGCCCGAAGGTTCGACTGGCTCGAAACATGTTTTCACCAGGTATGCTCTACATGCGCTTCTTATCTCAATTGCTTCACTGTGGGACTCCATAGCCGCTGGCATCACCAGATGCTACGATTGATCCAATACACGAAAGGCCCGTTGCGGAGCGGACAAAGTTCCCAGCAGCAAAAGACAAGCAGCAGAAAGCACTACGGCCGATCCAGCCATCCCAATATCAAGACCAATCCGCTGACTTTCTCATCCAACAGCAACGCCCCCATCCAATTCTCCTCTAACCTCGTCGAGGCTCTCCAGACCAACACCGAGGTGCGTCTCCGAGCCATACAAACACAGCCCAACACCCTTGCAACCCAGACTCCAATTCCGTATCTGAATAAGACCAGACCACAACTCTAACAAACTGACCAAAACAGACCGACTCCTCCCGCGCCAAGAGCCTGGAACTGCAGATCCAAGCGCGCGTAGCCCAGGAACTCGAGCGCCTCCGCGAACGCGAGCAGCAGACCCTCGCCGAAATCGAAAAGCGCCTCGCGGAAGTCAAAGACAGCGCCCCCGCTCCTTCCTCCACATCAACACCAAATATCACCTACCCCGCCGGCTCCCTGGACCTCGACGCGCCGCGTATCCCCTTCGCGGGCCGCGAGTACGAGTCTACCCCTGCACCTACTGCTGCCGCCGACCAGCCTATCAACCGCGATCTCAGCCGGGAGTCGGTGAATGCGGAGATTGAGGAGCTGCGGGCTAAGCTGGAGGGACGGCGGAAGCTCGTCGAGGTGGATGAGCGTGTTGAGCGGGCGAGGAGCGAGGTTGTGACTTGTTTGCGGTTGCACGACAGACGGCCGTTGGATTGTTGGAAGGAGGTTGAGGGGTTCAAGAGGGAGGTCGCCCGGCTTGAGGAGGCATTTGTGGACCGTGTTGTCGGTTGAGAGGGTCAGAGTCATAGCGATATGTGCCGCCATGCTGATGCTATTTCCTCTGTTGTTTTAACAAATAGATCCACCCGGTCCTTCTCGCGTCATGCATATGTATAGCTACCTATCTTTTGTTGGGCTGATTGAAACGAGTTCAGCTTTGTTCTACGGGTTTTAGTCCATCTACGAGTCTCGATATGTAGACTGCACCATCATGCGAAGAAACGGCAGCTATTGATTGAAAAGTAGACTCGTCAATCATCTATTCTAGTTTGGGTATCATCAAAACATAACCACAACTCATCCATAGCAACTACACACATGCAGATATACTTCGGTGCTAAATAAGCTCCCAGAAACCAAGTCTGCCCACTCGCTCGCCGGCACTACGGACAATGCACATTTTCCGCTCACGCGCTTTGCCCTTGCCAGACGCAGCAACCTTCGATACCAGGATCGAGCCAATCCCCGTTCCTTTTCCTTCGGACAGGTTATAGTTCCCTGTTGTGACGAAGCCGATCAGGTCTTCTTCCGTGGGGACGGGGCAGTGCTCCTGCCGGGAGTCTGTATCTGCTGTTGGGGTGATGAGCGAAACCGCGAGCTTCTGGCGGTCATCTTCTTGGCCAGCTGGAGGCTCAGCAGACTGCTGCAGATGGTCCTGAAAATGAGCGGCTTTGCGGTTCTTTCGCTCGTCGGATGCTAGGCGGAGCCATTTTTGGCGTAGCTCTGGGTTGGTGGTGGGGAGGCGGTATATGCGGGCCGCGGGGGTGGGCGTACCGCGGTGCAACAGGGATATTTTGACAGTTGCAAGAGCCGCTTGATCGGTGGTATCTGACGGGCTGTTGAGTGCAGCTTCTGCGCTGGCAAGGGGCAGGTGGTGTATGTTGAATGGGGGAGCATCACCATCAACGGCTTGCTGTTCGGCATCACTCATTTGCGTATCTTGTTGCTCAGAGTCTTGACTCTGTTCTTTCTCCTTCGCTTCATTAGAATCAGGCGTTGAATTCTTCGGCGGACCCTGAACCAGTCTTTCCCAGTCGCACGCCCAGCCATGACCGATCTCGCCTTTCTGCCCATTCCCCAGATCTAGGCTATCAAATTCGGTTCTCCGGCCCTTTGGTCGTCTTTCCCACTCCTGCTTGGCCTTCTCCCGTTCGCGGACGTTCCATTCCCAGCCAGCACGTGTTCCAGGAAGGTCGCCGGGGAACCAGGGTTCTCCGGCTTCAAACGCGAGTTGCCGTTGTTCTTTGAGACCGCCAAATCTGACGTTTCCGCCGCTTGAGAGTGGGTAATACATGAGCGAATACCAGAGCGGAACGACGCATTTCCATGGCAATAGAACGGTCCATGTCCCTGGCGCATTGTTGTTCTTTGTTTGGCTGGTTGATCTTGACGCGATGATCATCACCGGAATCTTGGGATCAGAAGCTTCAGCAGGAGGGTAAACTCCTGGTCCGGCTAAGGTCCGTCGACGATTAATAGCTTTCTGGCTAGGAAGTTGACGAGTAGCGGCTAGTCGTGCACGGCGGTCGAACAGGGCAGGTGACGTTTGGGTGGTGTCGGGTGACCATGTCGATAGTAAGGTGGCCAGATTCTGCATTTCGGGATCCGACGCTGGCGGTTTGAGGGTCCTCGGTGGAAAGTGAAGACGGGGGTCCGAGACGGAAAAGCCGAGAAGAGCATTTTGTGGCAATGACGAAGGGTTCGAGACCCCAAGCAACGAAGTCCAGGTGGCCTCTGGACTGCTTGCTGACGGTTCAGCACCATCCGGCATCAAGGGCTTGAGCGCTGAGAGTAGAGCTTCTGTAGAACCCGGACCGGTAATCTCGACACTTCCGATCTCGAAGCGCAAATCTTCCACCATCACTGGCGGATTTTGCCTCTTCGATATCTCAAGAAGCTCGTTCCACAATTGTAGGAAAGCAGATGGGTGGACTCTGATGAAGAGCTTCTTTCTGTCCTTCTGGCTCTTTCTCTTCGGCCGACCAGCATCAACCATTTCCACATCTTCCGCTTTTCCATGCGCACATCGGATCAACGTTATCGGTGCGATCGGTCTACGCGTACCTTCACGCTCAAATGCCCAAGCATGTAAGCCTCTTGTCCCAGCCCTCCACTTTCTACCCTTCGGACCCCAAGCATCCTGTCCATCAATCCCAATTCCCCTCAGCACCGCCTCCATGGCCTGCTCAGTGCCCTCTAGCTGAATCGTAGATATGTAGCTCATATCCCAAGCTACCGCACCCCTGGCCCCCTTAGCCCTGTGAGAAGGCCTGTAGCTCTTCTCGGTCGGCGACAGAGGCACCGCGAACCGCCACAACGGGTCCTTTGAAGTGGTCATATGGGCGCGTTTCGCATGGAACATATGCGTCGGAAGCCATGTCTTGCAGCGCTGCCGTTTCTTGTACTTTGATTCGGGCGGCGGCGGTCGTGAGAGCTTGTTTTTCTTGATCTTCGGCACTCGCGGGGCGATGTTATAGGCATGGCTGCCTGACTCTTCCAGAGTCTTTTGCGTCTCTTTATCCCGCTTCGCTTTCGCGGCCGCACGCTTGGCTTTGGTCTTTGAATTGAGATTCTGGAGCCGCCTAGCGGTTTCAAGGCGAATGCGCAGGATTTCGGTCGGTCTTCGTCGTCGAGCGGTCACGGTGGGGGTATTATCCTCGATCATCTACACGGCCGGGCAGTGAGCAAAGCTTTTCTGAATTCAAGTTGACCTCGAAAATCGCCCTACGAGGACGATAGATAGGTGCTCTCAACATACCTCTCTCTTGGCCCTCGCCCTCAGCCTCCGCGGAACCCTCTTCACATTGTGGCTGGCCGTCCGCCTTCTCAACGCGCGGGGCACTTTCTGAAACGCACGGCTCGTCAGAGCACTCTTCGACCGTTGCATCCCCGACTCGAGAGCACGGATCTCAAACTCTCGAGCCTCGACATACGCGGCGACATTCAGCTCTCCGGACGCAGAGAGCGCGGCGTCGGCCGACTGAACGGCGAGGGACCGAGCATCGAATGTTTTGGCGCGTTTGCGGGACGCTGCTGCGCCAGGCTGTGGTCCCGGAAACGCGGACTTGCGCTTCGAGAGCTGGTTCGAGGCCATGATGGCCGATGGGCGGAGGTGAGAAACAGACCGGGTAGCGTAGACGCTAGAGAGGTGTATATTTTTGTTGGTAGCTCAGCTGCAGCTTGGTGTACAAAAAAGTTGGTGTTGGAGCTTAATTTTCGGGGCTTTAGCGCGTCATCCCTCCCGGCCGAGAATCACGCAGTGGCACAAAGTCACACCCCCAAGCACCAATAGCAGCCTGAGGAAAATGAAGCCCTGCGACGCTTTGATTCATGTAGATCTTGGGGGTACCGGGATACTGATGTTTAATTGCACTACAGCTGTAGTTTGCTTGTACCTTGAAACGTAGTTCGTACCTGACATCACTGACATCATACGGTTTGGTAAAGCGAGAGCGGGAAAAAATTTTCTTCGTAGCTTCATTACAGCGTTGTATTTCTAGAAGTCTAAGCGGGGATGTCTAAAGATCTATCACGAATCTTGCCCATAGCAGGCTACTCTTAGCCCACCATAGAAAAACTTCAACGCCTTTCTATTAATCCCATGCCGGCGTCTATCATGTCTAGTTCACGCGTTTACAGGTGCTTGAGGACGGCCTCGGCGCTCGAGAACTATAGCAACATGTCAGCTCGTGCTCAAGACTCTAACAGCAATGGAATGGATGGAAGACTACTCACCTCCAGGTGGTTCTTAGAGGGCTCGAGAGCGGCGTAGGTGACCTTGCCGTGGTCAATGATGATGGCGTAACGCTTGGTGCGGCCCTCCTCATCGGCCCAGCCAATGCTCTTGGAGAAGCGAGCCTCAGGGTCGGAAAGGAAGAGCTAAAAGACCAGAATTAGCAACAAATTCAATGTAGTGAAATTTTTTGCAACGGCGAACATACGATGTCGTCACCAGTGACCTGGTTGGCCTTGCCCCAGGCGCTCATGACATAGGCATCATTGTAGGCGAGGACGGCAACAACGTCAACACCCTTGGCACGGATCTCGGGGAGCTTCTCGATGTACTCGGGAACGTGACGAGCAGAGCAGACGGGGGTGAAGGCACCGGGAAGAGCGAAGAGGATGACCTTCTTGTCGGCCCACTCCTTGGAAGCGTAGTAGTTGATGGGGATACCACAAGCAGTGATCTCACCCTTGTCCTCAGACCAGGGAATGTAACTGAACGGAGTTCAATGTTAGACCTGCGGTTTGGACCTATTTTGGCAGTCGAGGGAACTCCAGAGAAAGGGCAGATGAGCAGAGATTACTTACGAGAAGACAACGTCCGCGGGGAAGCTGTCACCGGCCTTGAGTCCAGACATGTTGATGGGTTAGATTTGAGGATGTGTGTAAAGGGAGTAGTGTTCTGAAGAGAGCGCTGTGTGAAGTAGAGATGAAGAAGAAGCGGTAGGCTAGAGTAGTGGGGTGATTTATGGAACTAGAAAAGAAAAGAAGACCAGGCGGGTGAGGGATCCATGGCGGTCAATATATACATAATCTGGACCATGGACGGTTGGAGCAGCCCCTGACAAAGCCAGCAAATGGTGTGCCAACGGGCCGCTGGAGACATCCATAAGGTGATCCGAAGCAGAAGGATACCGAATCCCATCGATTGAGGGAGGAACGGAATAATTGCTGAGTTGCTGGCCTGGTGCGTATTATCAAGAAGACCGCCCGAGACTGGGAGGGGACCCCCACCGCGGAACCCTTCATCGGCGGATGCACCATTTATGGCTCCTATCTAGACCAGACAAGTTGACAAATCGGTTTGCACTTCTGGGTCAGTGAAGTCATATGGAAAATTCTATTCGATGGCAAACTGGCAATTAATTCCAGATATCAGATTATCAGATCAGACTAGGATACTCTTACATATGAATTAATTAGTCAGTCTTTACGAATTGCCTGAATTTCTATAAAGTAGAAGTGGTGTAATATGTAGGTACCTTGCAGACTAAGGCTTGACGATCTGGACTTGATTGGATTATGCTATCTGCACATTAATGAGGGGTCGGTTCGGTGATAGGTATTATTCCTGTCCCTGCCTTCATCATTCAAGGCGAAAATGGTGCCTTCGATATGCTGATCTCGCACCAATCATCACGATCTGTCTCATCCAGCGACAGGCTATGCAATTGGTCCCTCGCAGACACGCAAAAATGAGGCTATGTAGCTCACTATCTCTAGGCTTCACCGCCCACTTTCTGGTGCCCCTCAATTTCTGCGGCCGCTCAACGTCATATAGTTGCACGTGACAACCCCATTCTGCAGTGACAATACTGATGATCGCCATGGTGGCGTTATGGTGAACTACATACAAAAGTGCTGCGAACTGTTTTCTTTTACCTTTTCAATACTCGATTAGCATCAATAAATAACTGCTGCCTATAGACCTCCAGTTTTCTATGGGCTTTTAATGTTGAGAATCAAACCTAAGTCAAGATAATTAATTTGGCTATCTTTCAGGTATATATATATCTATCGAACTACTCCGTAAACGTTGACATATCCTGCGCCAATTTATGAGATGACCAGTGTCAACGCGATCAAGAGTCAAGATTTTATGCGACGTATCACAGTCTATCGGCAACCTGCGGAGGGATCTGGGGAAACACTCAAAAGCCGAGTTTATGGACATTGCTGCAATATCTGGGACCAATGCCATGGTAGACGACATGGGATATGACCTGCCATGCTATCCTCCATATTTGGCAAGCTTTACTCCTTAGAGGTCAGTAGCAAAGTTGCCGAGTACGAGGGCTGGCTTCCAGCAAGATCGGTTTTTACCTATAGAGTAGTCTCAACATTGCGTGGTAAATATGGAGATCTATATGAACGTACGGAGAAAGACAGCAGTTCTCGGCAGATATTACGTATCCGATACCGTCGCCTATTCATTCAGAATGAATGCCCTTATTAACGGTCTGCTAATGATTCTAACCACCTAACATGTAAAATTTTTGGCCCCAAAATGTCTGCCAAAGGGCGTATACTAGTTTAGCACGTGATAGCATCATGCATGATGACTCAAGTTGAACGTCAATAACTAGTTATATAAACTATMGAGCAACCACATAACCGAATTTTGAAATAGCCAGTTCACCATATCAGCAAAAATGGCAGACCTAAAACCTCCGTTTACCGAAGAGACTGCCAGGAAGAAGGTCAAGGCAGCTCAGGATCTCTGGAACTCAAAGTAAGAATACACAGCATGAACACATCCCAGCCGTCAGCGGGTGTATATCATGAAATGACATTGTCATTCATATACCTCGCTCTGAGCCTTTGGTACTCTCAAAGAGAGTCATTCATCTACTGTTGATTGGTAGATAGCCATGATAGCAGCGCAAAGCATCTTATTTGTCATATCCCTTGCGTGAGCACACCATTCCCTCGTGGATTCAAATCCCGGGCCGGAGGAATTGACATCAGCTTTGTTCCTCCCTTGATTCAATTCTTGTCGTTAAGCTGTTCGCTGCGAGCCTAAGCGCTACATGCCCTATCGAGACTACTACCGTCCCTGTAACTAATAACTGACGCGGATGTACAGGGACCCAGTCCGAGTCGCTCAAGCATACACCCCTACATGCATCTGGCGCAACCGCGACTCATTCTTCTCCGGCACAGAAGCGATTATCACGTTCCTGACCCGAAAATGGAAGCGTGAACACAGCTACAGACTCCGTAAGGAGCTCTTTGCTTTCACGGATGATCGTATTGCTGTGCAATTCTGGTACGAGTATCAGGACGCAGAAGATGGGATGCGCTGGAAGCGCTGCTACGGCCTTGAGGATTGGACGTTTGATCGGGAAACTGGCAAGATGCGTAAGAGGATGATGAGCGGAAATGATTTGGTACTTGGACCAGATGGGAACGGTGACGGCCGATGGTTTGTTGATGGAGTTGACGTTGATGCTGTAGATATCAGCGAAGAGCATTGGTAGGCTGTTGAGACTCGACATAGGGCAAAAGAAAGTTCTAGCAAGTTCTTCTGGCGTCTGTTCATAGTTCATGAGCTTATACGCTGTAGCCGAGGAGAATCCGGGGAACTGTTTGGCTTAAAACGGAATGTTGATGTAGTTTCGAGGACACATCCAGCCCATAATTAGAGTGTCCTTCGAGCTGTGTTCAAAGCGCATCTTGCTTCCATATCTAGCCGAATTCCAGAACGTTGATCTCAATTCATAGACGAAGAGCTGGCTATTTGTTATTGATACTGGAATGTTGAATGCGAGCACTTCTGTCCCTTGACCGCTAGCTTTGGAATGCCCCTCCCTTGTTTGCAACAAGGCACAGGAGGATACCCTCCCCTCGACCCAGTCTCAGTATGCTGGGACAACAACCATTGTAGATTTAAAAAGGCGAAGACGGGAATGTGGCCATTTGTTCTGCTGGAGAAAGCAGGTCGGGGGTTCTGGACCTGCGTGCCTGGGTCGTTGAGAAGCCATGGGAGAATGCGCGCGATGCCAGTGTCTTATAGTAAGCCATTTCGGGCGCTCTGAATAATCGAGCTAGTGATTACGGCGTTTGCAAGAATTGTATGCTTGCTGAGTATTTAGAAGAAATACCGAGCAAGGATACGTAGGTGGTAGTTTAAGGGTCCTATTCTATCATTCCTTCATTGTCAGTCAGCGATACCATTGTGAAAACGTCAAGGGATGATAGAAGACTTGCAGAATAAACTCAACCGGTTGAATATTGCAAAGCATTGTGTGTAGCGGCTCCTTATATGCTTGAATTCAATTGCCAGTTCTTGAGCGTCTTGACCATATCGTGATGGTGTAATAGAGGGCTCGAGCATTCCTAATCCTCGGCCAATGTAGATTAGTGGCCAGGGAGACTCAAGGAATTCAAAAAAAAAAAACAAACAGTAAACGATCGGCCAGAGGAATTCAACCGTGATATGGTATGTCAGTTTTCTACTAACGTGCGGCCTCTGCTTGTTGTGGGGTGTCGTTGGACTGTGTTTTGAGTATGTTCTGAAAGAAAGTGACTGAAAGCTTGGATTTCTTTTGTCGTTGTTGTACACAGCTTCTCTATCGTACTCATTCGTCA